GATGCCCTGGGGGTAAGCAGATAAACATAAAATTTTCATTTTTGGGTGAACTATCCCTTAAAGCCATTAAGAGTTTTATATTGTGACATTATTTTTATGACAATTATGCACAGACAAAATTCTTATTAATATAATTTGAAAAAAGGTAATTTTCAATACTGTAATTATTTAGTTGTATTATTTAGGAAATATTTATATATCACTATAGATAGATAGATAGATAGATATACAGACAGACATTAGATAGATATTTTTAATAATATGTTTTCTTAACGTAATACTTTATTTGATAGTCATGAAAATAATCTTACAATGCAAATGTAAAGCATTGTAGAAAAAATGTCCAAACACAGGCTTAATTTTCTTTTTCCATAACTTATATTTTTCCTTCAATTATGTGATTTACACTGACACGTCCGGCGGGTTCTCACCTTCAGCACCTGCTCTAGGTTCTCCAGTTTGCCTTGGAGCTCAGTCCTCTCCAACAGAGCACAATCTCTCTGCACTGTCACAGTGTACAGAGCCTCCTGCAGCTGTTCATACTCGCTTTTCACCTGATAAAGAGAGAGAGAGAGAGACAGAGATGAATCAAAAACGTCTTCAGTCTTACACTGTTTGCCCTCTGACCTGTTAGAAAGGTAAAAGCTCATTCTATTCTGCCAAAAAAAAACATTTTAGGTTTTTAGATTACAAAAACACACGGCCTAATGGTTTGCGCACATGTTTGACACACTGGTACTCATACAAATGACACATTTCTAGGTCCCATTCGCCCATAATTCCCTGTTCTCTGTCTCTTTAGGCCACATTTATTAAAAAATGAAGTATGATTTTATTTCATTAATGTCACAAGGATAAAACAAAAAAAGTTTACTTAATTTACTTCATACCAACTATTAAAGGGATAGTTCACCCAAAAATGAACATTTGATGTTTATCTGCTTACCCCAGGGCATCCAAGATGTAAGTGACTTTGTTTCTTCAGTAGAACACAAATGGAGATTTTTAACTCAAACCGTTGCAGTCTGTCAGCCATATAATGTAAGTGGATGGGAATCACGGCTTTGAGAATAAAAAAAACATACACAAACAAAACCAAATTAAACCCTGTGGCTCGTGACATCACGCGCCGGCTGTTAGGAAGAACGCGCTCAGGACAGACAGTTTGAAATTGACATTGCGGTGAAAATCAGAGGTAAAAAATGATATAAATACTGTTCAGTTTCTTGCACAGACCGATCGTTTTGTGTCTTTACACATCAATGTATCGTCACGAGCCGCAGGGTTTAATTTGGTTTTGTTTGTGTATGTTTTTTTAACTCTCAAAGCCGTGATTCCCATTCACTTCCATTATATGGCTGACAGACTGCAACGGTTTAAGTTAAAAATCTCTGTTTGTGTTCTACTGAAGAAGCAAAGTCACCTACATCTTGGATGCCCAAGATGCAGATAAACATCAAATTTTCATTTTTCGGTGAATTATCCCTTTAAGGTGAGAGTTTAAACCAGTAGTTATGAGTGTCAAACTTTCTGTGGTGGTTGTCTTTGGTTCTGTAGTAGTGTAGAGGAAAATCATGTATGAATAAGACCATCTGGACCCATGTGGCCACAAGGCTAATAGGTGAAGCTTTCATAAGCTTTTCATAGTTCACAACATCCAGCATGCTTTCATAAACAGCAAGGTCTGAGAGGGCAGCTCTAGAGGCTCCAGGCACATCTGCTCCATTGTTACCTCAGAATATATAAGAGGTTTCTTCAAAGGATTCAATTATGCCATTAAATACCCTGATCAATTGAAAATGACATACTCTGTTTGTCATTATCCACTGATATGCGATATATGGAGTATGTGTAGTCAGCACTCTGCTCTGGGGTGAGAGTCGTGTTTTTAGAGAGCAAGAGCAGAGGGGTTGATGTCCTCTATCGATCGCAGCGTCAGTCATGATAAAAAGCTGAGCTGTCAGAGACAGCGGCAGTACTCACACTCCACGCCTGTCCAGTCTGACACTCATCTCTTATCTGCAACCTGACCTGAACACCCACTGCAACAGCAATTACAGCTGAACACGCTTGTTCTAGAGGAAATATGTTTGAACAATTACACTTGTATTGTTGATTCTTATGACATTCAAGCAGCATGTTGTTGGATAGTGATGATGGTGGTGGTGTGTAAATGACCTTCATGTACAAATTAAAGAGAGCATGATGTCAAGGTTAGGCCATACTTGTTTTTTTGTTACTACTGTGACATATTATGATGGTGGAATGCAAAATCCTTTTTTTAAATACTCGTTTAATATGAAAATTTAACAACTTTTTCCACCTTTGAAAATAACTACTTCTGGCATAACCAAGGCCTTATGGGGAGGTAAAAAATGATATTAACCAATAATGTGAAAATGTATAATTTCACGATTCAACTATATCTGATCAAGCTCCTGCTTTGTTATTTTCAGCTTTACATAACATGTGCTGTGAATGCTGCTTTATTTGTTTAAGGCATTGTGTACCCTGTTTATAAGGCAGTCTAATTCACATTGCCAACATTTGCATACTTTAGGGGGAATATTCATTCTAAACGCAAGAGAAAACTACAGAGACACAGATTAAGCCTAGTCCTAAATGAAAAATGATTTTTAATGGAGAAAACCAATTTATTCAGTAACTCAGTCAGACGCATGGCCTTATGTACACTTAGGAATTGGAGTGTTATTTTAGTATCATTGAGATATAGTTTTTATTAATATTTTAAAGTAGTTTTTATTTTTATTTACATTTTTATATTTTGTGTTTTCACTTTAATTAAAGTTTTAATATTTTTTATATTTGTATTAGTTTTTTTTTAAATGTCTATATAGTTTTTATTAATTTTTTTCATAAATAAAATAAAATAAAAAACATTTAACTGCAATGTCTTAAATCAGTGGTCTTTACCAGGGGAATAATTAATTACTATTTGATCACAATTAATTTTTTTGAAACACAAAACTGTAGTTACATTAAAAAAACACAACATTAATATTACCAAAGAAGAAGTTATAATCAAGGTTTCTTGTCATAAAAGTGTTAAAAAAATGTTCACAACATATTTTGTGATATACGAAGTTTCAAACATTGTCTGAAATAGTACAAGCTATAATAGGTAGGTATTAGAAAGTAGTAAGAGCATTTTATTTAAAATAAAAGAGTCCGCAGTATGCAGTTAAGTGCTAATGGAAGAGATGAGTTTTCAACTGTTTCTGGAATATTGTTAGGGACTCGGCTGTCCGGACAAGGTTAGGAAGATCATTCCATTAGCAAGGAACAGATTTGAATGGCTTTTCAGTGTAAGCTTCATACCAAGATATGTCATTAATACAAGTACGCATGTTATTATAGGCCAGGTGTGAAATAAAACGGTTAATTCTCTGGCAACCTCTCTGCGTACCAAAGGGTCTTTGTTCTAAAAAACATTGAAGACACTCATCTTTAATGGTCCTCCTCTGCTATCCAGTGATGCTGAGCCACAAACAGACTGGATAGACACAAGTTGTGTAGATGGAACAGCTGCCATCTTAATGACTACCATTCTGAGCGCTGGGACAGAGCTGTAGATTCAATGATGTCTCACTCTGTAACTCTGTTTGAGATGGTGGGGGGAGTGGGGGGTAAACTCACAAAATAAGTGATGCATGAAGGACAGTTCTTTTCAAGCAAAAGCAGGCTCACATGACTCAGAGACGTCACACCATTAACTGTTCTCAGTTTAGCATCGTATACTGTAAGGAGCTGTTAGTGCTATAGTCCCAATATAAAGCCTGATTGAAACTTTGCAGGCTGTACATACACTATACTATTTTTTATTTTATACCTCCTTAAACAATATCAAAATGAAGTTTAATTCAAAAAAATTAATTTGATTAGAAGATATATATTAAAGTCACTGTATGTATGAACTGCATTTTTAATGTATTTTAAATTAATAGATAGGAGAGAAAAATTGTGCCTCCCTGCTTCCACTATTCTGGGAAGGTTTTTCGCTAGATGTTGAAACACAGCTGCGGGGATTTACTGTCATTTCCTCCCAAGTTATACTATAATGAGTTGTACTTCTGTATGTGTTTCTTTCTTCTGTTGAACACCAATGATGATATTCTGAAGAATTTTGGTAACCAAACAGTAGATGGTAGCCATTGACTTCCATTGTATTTTTTCGATTCTATGGAAGTCAATGGCTACCGTCAACTGTTTGCTTACCAACATTCTTCAAAATATCTTCCTTTGAGCTCAACAGAAAAAAGAAACTCATACAGGTTTGAAACAACTTGAGGGTGAGTAAATGATGACAGAATTTAATTTTGGATAAAATATCCCTTTAAGCAAGACAAATGCATACAGTATACTACTAGAACTCATAAACCATAAACGATGGGAAGCGTTATACTGTATTCCTTCTAAATAAATACACTTATAGACTTTCTGATGAATTAGAATTACTGGGGTTCCTTTATTTATTCTGTCTTTTCTTTCTCTTGCCTTTCCCTTCTTCTGTATTGCTATCGTCCTCATAGGTACTGCATTCATAAATGACTAATGAGGGAGTAGGGATCCTGTTTTGCAACAGCGTTTGACAACACACCTACTCAAGACATTTTGGATGCGGCCTACCTTCAAACAGCTCAGCAGGAGGACACTGCTCTGCCAGGATGGGATGCCAAGATGTGCCTCCAACTAAACACTGACACAGACATGACTAAAAGATTAACTATAAGCAGGCTACAGGGGTGCTGATGCTAGCAGGCATAAATCTGAGATAACAGATCACACTTGCAGGTGTGAGACAGAACTAGGGGAGATCAGAAAAATGCACATCGAAGGAAGACCAAAGTAGACGATTATAGTTCACAGGTGCAGCATTAGAAGACATAAGCAATGGAGCCCAATGCCTACGTGCTGCTGTATTATATGATTTGCTGTTTTATATTTGAATATATTTGCTAATTTATTCCTGTGATGCAAAGCTGAATTTTCAGCATCATTACTCCAGTCTTCAGTGTCACATAATCCTTCAGAAATCATGCTAATATTCTGATTTCCTGCTCAGAAAACATTTCTTATTATCAATGTTGAAAACAGTTTTGCTGCTTAATATTTTTGTGGAAACCACGATACACTTCCATTCAAAAGTTTGGACTAAAATAAAATGTAAAAAAAAAAAAAGTAAGTGCATTCATATTTTATAAAGTTATAAAATTTTTCAATTTAAAATAAATGCCTTTCTTTTAAATTTTTTTTTCATCAAAGAACAATGAATAAATAAATAATAAGAACCAGTGTTAATGACTAAGTATCAATAATAAATGATAATAACTGAACCCCCCCAAAAATTTGTGAGCAAAACATTTTATATTTACAGATCAGTTCTTAACCACCAGCACTAGAGCATATTAATGAGGAATGACATTTATGGCACAGGTGTTTTTGGTTCAGAAAGTGCAGTGTTTGGTAACAAGAACATAAGTGATATGTTGTGCTGTTTATGTGAGTAATATATGTCTCTTTGATGGCAGCTATGGTCCATCAGTGCTGTGACAAACCAGCACTTGTAAACATGCTGCTGCTCAAGCATGAATCCAATCATGTTTTTTAAATAAAATTCAGCTATTACAAGAATGTAATATCTGCCAGTTCCAGAGAGCAGCACTTCTTCATATCCACTCTTCAGATATGACAGACCCTCTAAGAAAAGTCTTCAATAGTTATGTTGTGTTACACACAAAAATACATGCCACAAACTGACTTACAATGTCTTGTTCAACAATGTTTCTTGACGCTGTCATAATCCGGTCCTTCAGGAAATTGCTTTTCCATGGCTACACACACACAAGACCCTCATCTTAAGATCAACATCACAAGCGATATCAACTTCACTATCCAGGAAATTAAATTTTTACCCCTTAAGGACCAACACACAGACACATAGACTATACAAAGTAGACACATACAAATGGTGGATTAGAAAACCCCCAAAATATAGTAATACCAAGAGATAAAAAGAAGCAGAAATGTGCCCTCTGACTCAGGAAAGCTCCAGTGCTTTCTGGCATTCTATTATAAACCAAAACATGAACACTGTGTATCTGAATACTGCACTATTCTAGATAAAAAACTGCTGAAGGACTCGAAACTGGGTTATTATTGTTACCTAAAACTAAAACATTTTCGTTATTAGAAACAAAATGAACGGTAATAAAAAAAATAAAAAAAAAAGTAAAGTTATTTTATTTCTTGTAGTTGCCAAAGCAACATTTCTCATTTTTGGTTTAGATTTTCTTAAAAGTACTATTAAGTAATTAAAACTAAATCAACACAAACTAATAACTAATAAAAATAATAAAAACTCAACTCAATAACTTAAAATCATAATGTAAAAAAAAACTAAAAACTAATGAAAATGACAAAACATACAACAAAATTAATAAAAATGTAACTGAAATAAAGTGAAAAGATAAAGTATAAAAATAAAATGTATTTCAAAATATTAACAAAAACTACAGTAGTGCATCAATGTACAGTACATCAAATTTAAACCTAATATTACTCAGTAATATTATAATATTATAATATAAAATGCAGATACATTATCTGACAAGGTACAATACGGCTGCTCATACCACTACAGATCCATTCTAAACACATGGAAAGAGACATCTGTAAAGGATTAACTTGTCTGCATACAGGATTCAAGAAGGAGCACAGCTCATCTCAGCTCAGTCACTATTCATGGTATTTAAGATGTTAAATAATGTTGTGCTTTAGCACAGACTCTTTGCCTGTTAAAAGTCATATATTAAAGTACTATCTGCAAAACCTTCTTATTGCTAACAGGTACTCAGGATCCACAATGAGCTTATGGCCAATGGAGAGTGAACTCAGATAATTTACTGGCTACAAATTATTATTGCAGGCCAAAAAAGTGTACTTTACTAATGTAAAAAATACATCAACACTGCCATTACCATTCAAAAGTCTTTGTGTAGCCAGTCCTTCAAACTGACGGCAGAAGGTCTGGGAACCATGGCCGCTTTGAATGGTCAAGGACCGCCCAAGAGGCCATATGACTCATGTTTTGTTTTGTGCCACATCATGTTTAGGGGTAATGGAAATGTCCCCAGAATAACAGACCGGTGTGTAAAACTCTTGGAAGTATTTTAAAGTATTTATAAAGTATTTTACATATTTCACATACTTTTGAAAACCTAGCATTTAGTTGATCCTGATAAATGCTCTTTGTTACAGTTGTAAACACAATGGCTTTCTTCTTTCATGAGAGGGTTTGGCATCACGGCATCTTTGTTTCTAGGCGGAACATTAAAGAACGCGACACACACGTCTCCTGAAAATCCTGTAGAATTCAACCAATCAGATGACGACTTAGAAACTCCTGAAGCATTTCCAATTTCGTGTGCCATATGCATCAGACGTTCAGCCAATGGTCCGTGGGTGTGACGTCTGAGGCTGAGATTAGGGATAAGTAAGACGTTTTCATTTTTTTTAAAGAATACTATGCTCACCAACTCTGTTTTTATTTGATCAAAAATATAGTAAAACTGTAAAATTATGAAATATTATTAGAGTTTAAAATAGAAAATATTTTAAAATATAATTTATTCCAGATTTGGTGCTCAATAAATATTTACTATTATAATCAGTTGAAAAAAGTTGTGCTGCATAATATTTTTGTGGAAATCATGATGCATTTTTTTTCTGGATACTTTGATGAAAAGAAAGTTCAAAAAAACAGCATTATTTGAAACATTATAAATGCCTTTACTGTCACTTTTGAGAAATATAATGCGTCCCTGATGATTTTTTAAATTAATTAGTAGTATTAATTTAGAAAAGTATTAATTTCTTTCACCACCACAATGAAAAAATCTTAATGACCACAAACTTTTGAATGGTAGATTTTTTCGTATGACAAAAAAAGAAGCTTTTCCTTGCATATTTCTGAGAAGTTGCAGTTACCAGTTGAAGTTACTGTCGAAATGTTGTGTAAGACCATCTAATCTCTTCTTAATACTATCTTTGCTGAAACATTACTGAGCTTAGCAGATGTATGTGTAACTGTGATTTATTTACGCTCAAGTCAAACCTTATTCCAGTTTCTCTCCTTTAGCATAAACCAAAATCGCCATGACATTTATATCTTTGCACAAATCCTCCATACTCATAGAGTGTGCATCGATACAGCCATTCAAAGATGAACTCATCAATCTCACGAGTGAGTGGGTGGTCACTGCTGTACTCCAGCGTGGCAGAGGGACTCGCCAGATTGAGTTAGAGGACGCTGAAATGTGTGCCGGGCGGCTCAAGGGCCCCAGCTTTATGAGGAACAATCCTCCAGTTCCACTCAAGTGGCAAAAACACCATTAGTGCTCTCCACCAGGGAACAAATGATAGCACGAGCGGATTACAATGCCATTGTGCGTGTGTGAGTGAGTAGACGATGAGGGTTTACTATCTAGCCGTAAGCCACAATGAGACAGACTGCTTACCTGCTCATACTTTGCTGCCTTCTGGATATCATTGAACAAGCGGAGATTCAGACGTGCTTTCTCCTGCAGAACATGCTGAAGCTCACTCTCCTGTCAACACACACACACACACACACACACACACACAACACAGAAAGGTTAGATTCTCAGTTTTGTGGCACACATTTTCAAACACGCTTGAGTCTAGCAGAAGTACTCACAGGCACACACTGATAAACACACGTTTAGACGGCAGGGTGTATTCCTGGTAAGAGCAGAGAGTTTCTAACACAGCTAGTGTTAGTCAATGCATTATTCATTTTGAGGCGAGCGAGACAGGGAGAGAGTGAGTGAGTGAAGACAGTAAGACAGAGAGAGAGAGAGAGACGTTGCAGCCCATCTGTCTTAGCCAGACTGACACTGAGGGTTTGAACTTCAGTACAGAGATCAGTAGTCAACAGAAATCATGCTGTCTCCACACAACACGTCTAGAATAGTCTACATAGACAAGGAGAAAAAGAACGAAAGAGAGTCCATCACTAAATCAGCATGGCCTAAGTGACATCAATGGAAAAGAAAAGTTGTTTCAGAGGAAGAGGAAATTATTACATTTTGATTCACTGTTATTAAGATATTTTTATCCTGTGGAATAAAATGCTCCAATTAACTGTTCACAGTAAGTGCATATTGACTTCAGTTAATGCTACCTTTGTAATTTATTCCTTTTTGATAAATGTATAAATGTTTGATTATTGTAAATACATTTTGAAAAAAAAATTGAAAACATTTTTTTTGAAAAATTTCTTATTTAGCACGGATACATTAAACTGATCAACTGATCTATCTATCTATCTACACACACACACACTATATATATATATATATTTTTTTTTTTTATTATTTATATTAATTTTGTATTCATAACAGAATCCAGAATTTTTTTTACAACTGTTTCTTGAGCAGCAAATCAGCATATTAGAATAATTTCTGAAGGATCATGTGACACTGAAGACTGGAATAATGGCTACTGAAAATTCAATTTTGCCATCACAGGAATAAATTACATTTATATGTTAAATAGCAAACATTTATTTTAAATCACAACAATACTACTTTTGTTAATGTTTTATTGATCAGTGTGACAACCTTGGTGGACGTTACACTCTTCTTTCAATATATATATTTACAATTATTTTGGAATTTAATGTACTTTACTGCCAAACAATTATTTTAATAAACACGAATACTACTTTTATTTTATTTTTTATAAATAAACATTTAAAAAATAAAAAAAAAATCATGGACCTACGGAATTTAATTTATTTTACTACAATTTAATTTAATTTAATTTTGATTTGTTTATATTCTTTATATTCTTCACATTATCATATTTTACTATTATTTCACAGATTTTGCATTGTATTGTCATACCAATGAAGCACACTAAACTGAAATCAAAATATAATTGAGAGAGACAGACAGAGAGAGGAAGCAAGGCTGAGAAGTACAAGAAAGTAATGCTGATGAGGCACTACCCAAGAGAGGAGAGTAGCACACAGCACATTAGACAGCATGCTGGTTTTTATGATTGAATCATCTGTACACCTTTAAATAGCTCTGTATAATTAGGTTAACTTCTCAAATGATTGGTTAATCTTGAATGCTGCAGGAAACTTGCATACGCCCCCTAACCAAACCCCCATCCTAAACAGCTTAAAGGAACACGCCACTATTTTTGAAAATAGGCTCATTTTCCAACTCCCCTAGAGTTAAACATTTGAGTTTTACCATTTTCGAATCCATTCAGCCGATCTCCGGGTCTGACGGTAGCACTTTTAGCTGTAGCTTAGCATAGATAATTGAATCTGAAGAAGACCGTTACCATCTCGCTCAAAAATGACCAAAGAGTTTCTATATTTTTCCTATTTAAAACTTGACACTTCTGTAGTTACATCGTGTACTAAGACCAACGGAAAATGAAAAGTTGCGATTTTCT